GCACAAGACCAAGCCTTAAGAACAAATGCATACAAAGCCAGAATTGAGAAGACAGCAACAGTCAGGAAATGCTGCCTCTGCAAAGAAGCTGAAGAAACCATGGACCACCTAGTTAGCTGCTGCAAGAAGATCGCACAGACTGACTACAACAATGGCATGACAAAGTAGCAGTAATGGTGCACTGGAATATCTGCAAGAAATACCATTTGCCTGCAAGTTGTGCTAGGACCACAAAACAAAGTAATAGAAAATGAAGAACCTAAAGTGCTCTGGGATTTTAGAATTCAAACAGACAAGCACCCGCCACACAACACCCCAGACTTATCAATTGTTGATAAGACAGACAAAAAAGTCTGGATAGTGGACATTATAATACCTGGAGACAGCAGAAGAGAAGAGAAAGAACTGGAGAAAATCACAAAAGATAAAGACCTACTAATAGAAGTAGAATGACTACGGCAAAAGAAAGCAAAGATAGTACCAATAGTTATGGGCGCTTTGGGTGCAATCCCAAAACATCTGGAGCATCACTTGAGGACCATCAACATTGACAAAATCACCATAAGTCAATTATAAAAGGCAGCTTTACTTGGAACAGCTTATTTCCTGCAACGATATCTTTAACACCGTCAAACAACATCTGCCTATCCCAGGTCCCTGGGAAGGACTCGATAGGTGGATAAAAATGCCAAATGCAGTTTAAACATCTGGTTCACTGTGCGACCAACCATAATAATAACAATATGGCTGAATGCAAGTGAGATGGCTCACTGTTTCCAAGGCAACTGGCCAGGGAAACCCTTCATGGTTGAATAGGAAGAATTATGCAGCAAGGACCAGAGCAGAACTAAGCTTCTATACAGGTCACAGTCTTGACAAAAGAAACAAAATAGAATTTCAACAACTATAAAGAGTTCTACAATTCAGTCTTACAAGTTCATATTGCTTGATACATGCTTTTTAATGAGCTGTGTTTACCTTAGCAAACCTAACTTTGCTACTATCTCAGAAAAGCAGGATACAAACAAAGTAATCTGTGTATCACTTTTAAAAACCAATGTAACAGAAGAAACAGTGGAGGAATGATGGATACAACTGAATGCTGGATGAATGTAATTTCATTTAAAGCAGACAACTGAGTTTATATAGTTATAAGTTTCAATGTATTATGCAGCCTTGTTCTGAATTGCTCAAATGTTCCTTAAATAAATAAGTAAATTAATTTGTTCTATCCACAGGTATTATGGAAATACTGGGGGAAAATCAGGACCCATCAACTTCCAGGAGCCAGAATCCTGTGAGGAATCTCTAGAAACTAGTGAATGATGCAACATCTCTCACTGCATAAATCAAATTTTCTTTTCAAGATTCCTTTGCAAAACCTTACTCTTACTCCTGTAGGACAGCAGGAAAAAAAGTATTCATAACACAAATTGAGATACAAAATCCAGTACAACTATTATTGTCATTACATTACTACCCACTTAAGGATTTTACTGTGAAGACATGTCAGCTATATAAAAGCAATCCCAGGCAAAAACATGTTTTGTGTTTTGACTCCTAACACAAAATGTATTTTCTTATTTCAGCTGATGCTCAAACCCTACAGAATACTGTTACATTTCCAGAAAATATGGAACAGTGATGACTTAAGATACAAGGTATCTTCAAGAACAAAGTAATTTAAGTTACTTCCTTCATATCACAGTTGGACTGGAAGTTCAAAATGTGTAAGGTTCCACCAAGTATCCATATGTACACAAGATTCTTCCCTCATTAATGTATAAACATTGACATTTGAAATACAGAATGGCAGCATCAAACATTGCTTTGTACAAATAGATCCCACTAAAAACAACCTTCTAGCATCAAGGCCTCCTTTTCCCTTACAACATGTCAGATTACTTATTCAGTGTTTTGGAACCATGTTTTATGCTGCCTTGTCTTCACAGGCTTGGCTTCTGAAGAAACACACCATGTGCTGATATCACTAAAGATATTAGCAAATTATGAGCTAACAGTGATGGGTCACTTTTGATTCCAGTTCTGCATTACACATAATGTGTATGTCCATGCTAAGTAACTTACTAAAAAAAGGCACATTTTCTTACCTGCTTTATGGCTGTCACAGTTATAACAAAAAACAATGGCAATCCACTTGTAACTGGACTGGTAGGAGTATCTATCATAAGCTGGAGAAGAAAACACAGACAGAATATGTTCATGAGATAAGTTTTGGAAATTCTATAATCAAATTTGTACATTATATACAGGAAACTATAAATACTGGTTTGTGGTTGCTACTATAGGACTGCACACCATATACACTGCAATCTTTCATTAGTATTTGGAAATGGTTTGTGGCTTCCAAGAATTACTAAAGCCAGCCTAATGTCAGTGGGGAACCTTTCAATGTGAAAAGGCCTGTTGCTGATGACACAGCAGGCTTTAGTGGCATTTGGAAAGGAGCAAGATTCTCACTGATTTTAAAATGCCCCAAAGCTGAGAATGAAGTTGGCAAAAATCCTCCTCTATACTTGCCAGATTAAAAGATGCTTCTGGGCAATCACACTAATGCATTGTCAATAATTAAAAATACAGACTGCATTAAGAATGGTTTCAAGATAGCGTGTTGTGGAAGTTCAGTTGCTAGATCTTGGTTAAACATGCTGTGTGAGCACAGTATTCCACTCAAAGCAGAAATGGAACAAGACTGCGCACATTGTGACAAAACACAGACCTCTTTCATATGGACTGATCCTAAGGGAAGAAGGCGGTTATTCTCTCAGGCAACAGCTCTCGGGCCCAATCTCTTCAACTTCCCTCTCAGCATAAACAGGACAGAGATTTTGAAGGAGGACGGATGCATTATGTTTCAGCACGATCAAAAGACTCAGGTTCCACAGTGCTTAGAAATATATGTTAACCTTAAACACATTTATTGTGATCATACTGCGAAAATAGACACACAGTCTGTTCTACTGTTGTCTTGTGTTGGCTGAGGCAAAAAAGAAGGAGGGGAAAAAAACCCTCTCTGTTCCTATTAGTTGCCTGCTGTCAAATGTAAAGCACCTTCTTGCAGGGAACACAGCATGAATTCAAGAAAAATAAGTAAACATAATTACAGAGAAATATATGATTGAGAAGCTAATATCAGTCTAAGAGATTTACTTCCTACAAGGATAATTGACCATGCATGCTACAAAGCCAGAAGAATAAATTTTTGCAAATAATTAAGATGCTTTCTTTGAATGAACAAATGAAAGAGTAAATAAATAAATAAGTTACACCTAATAAAAAACTAGGTGCGCACCCTCTCTTGGAGAAGACAGAATGTAAAATAAGAGTTGAGTGGCTTTGCCCTTTTTAACGACCTGTATCATTTGGTTGTTTTACTTCTTTTTCTTTTGAACCTATCTGAAGAATGCCTTGTTGTTTTTACCATGCTTTTGCCAACTTCAGTTCGTTTAGCTTTTCTGAAATCATCTCTACCATTCTCTTCCCTTATGGCCTGATCCTCTTCCCAGCTCCTATGTGTCCACTGTTTGTGCAGCCATACTGACATTGTCTGTTTTCCATTTGTATTTCCTCACTGGAAATGTTTGCAATTGTGCTTTTAGTATTTCCCTTCATCCCTCTATCATGAACTCCTTTTCCCACTAGCATCTCCTGCCATGAAATCCTACCTATTGCTGCTCTGAATTGATCAGAAATCATCTTTTTGAGCTCAAGCTGATCAATTGAGCTTAGAATTTAACAGTTAACATTTAAGCACTGCTTACACATAGAACTTCCTTCTGCTAAATGTTGGAAATCCCTTCCATTAATTTTTTTAGACAAAAGAAGCTTCAGCACAACTTGTGAAATATATAGTACAAGTTGAGAAGGAAAACTTGGCAAAAGTGAGTAACAACTAATTCCCAATTACATCATTATACACTCACTTGCAAGGGCACACTGAGTAACTACTCCATGAAAGAAAAGAAAAAAAAAAGATGCTTTACATGCAATAAGTGGGAATCTATTGATTTTTAACAGTTTTATTAAAACAGCCATAACATGGATTTTAGGGCACTATTTTTAATATAAAATTAAATTAAAATCTCATTGCAACATAGGCCCAAGACAGCATTTCCAAAAGATACAAAACGAAACACATAAATAGAACCAAATACTATAGCAGCTTGTGTAATACAGTATGTACAGTATATACAAAATGCATCTGAAAAATACATTGTTCAGTCAATTCCTCGCATCTTGTCCTCAGAACATGTTCTATACCACATTTGGAAGGAGTTGGGAACTGGAATCTTGTCACATGCAAATACAATCAATTAAGATAGATTTTCCTTTGAAAATCATAATCTCATATTTCTAGAGGGATGTTTTGAGAGCCTGTACTTTCAACAGGGTACAAATAAATGTCTCTTCCATTCCCTGTTAGCCAGTAGCTTTGGACAATAATCAAGTCTATGGGTCAACCCTAGGCATCCCACCTGCTATTACAATGCTACTGATTATGTGCCATCCAGTCATTGTCGACTCTTAGCGACCACATAGATTTCCTCCATGATTACAATGCTATTATAGCATTTTAAATATCTGCCATAATCCTTTGATGGGCTTGACATCAAAAATCAATATAATCTCAACAGCAGAAGCCCCAAATGATAGCTAAATTTCTGATTACAGTACTGACCAGGTTGCAGGTGGGATGGAGGGGAAAATAACCTCCCATCTGACTGGTTAATAAATAGAAAAATAGCTTTGATGCTTAAGTTCCTCCAGGATTTCACTTTCAGAGATTAAGTATCAAATTAGGAAGCTCTTTACTTGGGGCTTTAGTCCATTATTTTGACAATAATGTTAATTCATGTCACCATGCATTTATTTTGCAAAACTGAAGCCAACTAATGTTTTGCCTCTATCAGTCCTGAATTTATATTCATATGTCGGAAGTATTAAGTGAGGTTATTCAATCAGATGGAATGCCAACTTAAGGGAAAACAGTTTTCTACACTATATTATAGCCTAAGCTAGTTAAACTGCATTAACATTTCTAACATCCTCCTTTTAAATCTCAGAAGGCAATACACTGAAGAAAACATGTAGTCACTAGGAACAAACCTTATGAAACAGATTAGCTAATGTCTTATGAAACCACAGAAAAACCTGGATGAATGTATCCAGATAACTGCAGTAGGGAGGGAGACAAATCAATCCTACCTCTGAGATCCAGTATTTGTTTCAAGAGTCAGTAAACCAAGCTTTTATGCAATTATTCAACATGATTGTTTTTTTAAAAATCCCTCAGTTTAATTGCACATATTCAAATAGTGTTAAATTATCCAACTTACCTGAACCAAAAATATTATAAGAAAATAAAAATTGGCTACTCTTCTAAACTGCTCAAATAAATTTTTGGGCACAAAATTCCACACTGTATACTGCAAAAGAAAAAAAAAAGTTACATTTAAAACTGCAGAAATAATTTGTTTCAACTTCAATATTTTTTTTAGGACTGTATAAAGTGCATTCACAATTCTACAAATGTTAACAAACCCTCTCTCAGAACATTCATATCAGCCAACTCAGTTCCATACATTTACATTATATGCTAAAAAAATACAACAAAATATTGAAATACATAAAGAACATGAATTAATTGACATCTGATTTTGGGTTTTCAAGAATCTAGGAGATGCTCTCTTCATTTTGACTTCTAAAAAGTGAATTGTCTATGAAGTTATTTAATCTGTTACCTTAAACACATTGCAATTGCTTTTACTAACATGCCAGTATCACTTAGCGCTGAATTTACAGCCAGTGTATTGGCTTCCAAGTATAATTCACAGTGCTGATTTTAACTTTTGCGACTTGCATGTAGGTTCTTACAGGATGGCTTCCTTTAGATTGAAAAGGCCAGTGTTTTTCAAACTTGGCAACTTTAAGATGTGTGGATTTCAGCTCCCAGAATTCTGCTGGCTGGGGAATTCTGGGAATTGAAATCCACACATCTTAAAATGGCCAAATTTGAAAAACACTGAAATAGGTGAATCTGGTACATTTGTTGCAACTTGGGAAATTGGGGGGGGGGGGAGAACTTATGCTCCCTCCCTATGGAATAGTTTACTCCAAAGATTTGATGATATTTAGAATGGCAATTAACATCAAGCTTTTCTGCAGAGCTTTTAATTGTTAATTCGTTTATTATTTGTAAGATGTGCACAGCTGATCAATATGGATACTGGGATTAGTTTGTGAAATTGTGTTAGTGATTTTAATTGTTTTAACATATTTGTGTTCAGTTTTATAAAAGCTAAGAGCCTTTGTGGAATTGGTGGCATTTAAAAAATGTAAATAAATAAAATTTTATTGTATTGATCAATTGGGGGGTTAACACAAACACCTATATAATTCAGCCATTTGCTTAATTTGACTTAGTTTCTAGTCAAAAACAAAAATCATCACATACAACACCTATGTTATCATTATGGTAAGTGATGATCAGAATCACAGCCTAAAACATTTGGAGAGTGGAACATTGACTATTTCTGTTCAAATCATACTTAGAATTCAGAATTGGTATCGAAACTGAGTTTTTTGGGCAAGCTGCTAATAAAGGCTAAACATATACTCACCTGGTATAAACCCTTTTTGTCTTACTTGACAGGGTTGGAATACAATTTTTAGAACTTTTTTAGTTAAGCAAGATGTTTGAAATATAATGCATTACAAAAAAAAAAAAGGATTTCTATAATGATGTATGATACATATGAATGGACTAGTTTGACTGTGTGGCACATAATATGCCCAAAAACTATTTAAATACACATTTGAGTTTTTCTTAAAAACAATTCTGATATATCAAACCAAAATTTATCTTTATCTATTGCACCTGAGGGACCGTCTCATCCCCATTACATCAACCTTTCCCACCTGGACAGGCAGGGAAGGTGTGTTATGGGCCCTGTCAATTAAAGAATGTCAACTTGCAGGGTCCAGGAAGAGAGCCTTCTCTGCTGTTGCTCCTGCCCTATGGAACATTCTCCCCGCAGAGGTGAGGCAGGCCTCCACTCTCCTGGCCTTCCAGAAAGGGTGAAGACCTAGCTCTGCCAGCTCACATGGGGCTCGATGAGGGGTAACCAACCCTGGGGGTGGTCGGCACCTTGAAGACGCTCCCGTAGGTTGATAACCTATTTTATACCATCAATTCCTTGGAATTATTTATGAACATTGTTTTTATTGTATTTTTAATGGTTTTTATTCTTATTTTTATTGTAAACTGCCCAGAGTCGCTCTCTGAGTGAGATGGGTGGTGACTAAATTTGAAATATAAATAAATAAATGTGTATAGGTGTTAAGATTTCCCATACCTTAGAGGAGATTATTCTGTTTTCTGCAAACTTCTGCGGAACATAATGGCCATGCTGGGGGAAACGATTTGCAATATAAATAGTTCGATTATCACTCTGATGTGGTGGGTCAAAACCC